ATTTTAACGTTTAACTAGCCAAAGATGTAGTTCAAGATGCCCCTATAATAGAATCTTAATTAAAATATAAAACAATTTCAAAGGAGACTGATTTTTTTTTTAATTCAAAGTCAAACCATCTAAAGTGACTTAAGCTACTTGAATTGAACGGCACAGATATAATGACGAAAGTTTAGTCTGTCGAATCGGTATCGGGTACCGAAAAGGAAGTATTGGGTACCGAAATTTTTTTCAAGCATTGGGTACCGAGAATTCAGCACATCACTACTCAGAATCTCGCCAGAATAATTTTAATGACATTTGTTAACGTGGAGCTATTTGTGAACCAAATGAAAAAAGTGGCGCATTTTAGGAGCTGGTGTAGTTTTCATACTAATCTCAATGAATAAATACAGTATATTTTGCTTAGCTGCACATCATTCTTTGCACGAAAAACTTGTGCACTTAACCGAAAAAGGCACTTAAGCGAATTTTCTTTACTACTTCAATGAGGAAGGTATCCAAATCCCTATGAAACCAAATAATGGAGAAGCACTTACCAAGTAGAAATTACTGCAAGCGTAATTTTTACCAAATAGTATCTAATTATTTGTATAACTACATAAATTGATAGCCATTTTCGTTGTTCCGCGAGATGAGCAAAATAAATAAAAGATTGTAAAATTAGGTAATTGTACATAGGGTCAGTGCAGGTAAACGTAATACTTTCTTTGATAATTGATACTAGTTGCACAATTTTTAAGGCAGGTATCGCCAATGTGCAGGTTGAATGCATCTATCGGAGCAGTTTCCTTATAAATGTTTAAAATAATGCCTCTACTGCACATTTTGGGGTAGGTATCTTAAATGTGCACCTAAGCATAAAGGCAGCAAAGCAAAATATACTGTAGTACCAAAATGTTAAAGGTAGAATTTTGATTTGAAAGAAATACTGGTGAAATAACAAATACACCAAAACGTTCTTTTTTTATTCAATCTAATCAGATTTGTACCAAAATCCATAAATTTACACCAATTTATACACCAGTGTGCTACTTGAGTTAGATGCCTTATTTTCTCCATACATTTTGCTAAAGTATTTCAGATCCTCCCTCCGGCAGCAGAATTTGAAAATAGGACGCTAAAGACCTAACAAAATGGAAACAAAATTTCATTATTGCAAAAACTGAATGAGCTACTCCGAAAACCGCGATTTATAAGACTCTTTTGCTATAACCTTAGATCCTTATATGAAAACACATTTATCTTACACAAGAAAGAAAAAATATATATCCAATCTTATGAAGAATAAGCCGCTAAAGCGAATGGCATACTAAGTTGTTTAATACAACTAACCAAAAAGTTACTCACACGGCCTAAA